ATAAATTATCTGACAATAAGAATGAATGGCTGCTCAATTTTAATTCAAAATATTATTAAAATACTGATCAAATTATCACTACAATTCAAAGTGTTAAAAAGAAGAAAAACACGTTCTAGACTTCCTAAGTCTTCAGTCATATTCTTTTACTATCTTCCTGACAGTTGTTTATTTAAGTATTGAGACAGTGTCTTATTTTGTTGCTGGAGTGCAGTGGTGCGATCATGGCTCACTTCAGCCTCGACCTCCTGGGCTCAAGTGATCCTTCTACCTCAGCCTCCTGAGTAACTGGGACCACAGGTGTGTGCCACCACGCCCAGCTAATTTTTTTTATTTGAAAAGACGGGATCTCACAATATTGCTGAAGCTGGTCTTGAACTTCTGAGCTCAAGCAGTCCTCTCATCTTGGCCTCTCAAAGTGATTACAAGCATGAGCCACTGTGCCCAGCCTTCATGACACTTTTTAAAGATGTTTATCCATAAAACAAAGGGTTACTGATATTCAGATGTGTATATAAGGACCAAATGTCACCACCGTTAATTCTCCCTAACAAATGCTTTAGGTGTTTTTAAGACTTAAAATGTCAGTCATATATTGTATTATTGAATTCTAGTATTTCTGGTATTTAATACATTATAGTAAGAGCTTTCAAATGGAAGCCCAGGATGAAAAATGTTGTATTTTACTTGTTAAAATTACAATTTCACATATGTGCTTATCTGCACATTATCTATAGTATGTTTTAGCTTCATCTTAATATTTCTGAAATCATTTACATATGCTATTTTTATAAATTACATTAAATACAATTTAAAATACATAGTATATACAAAATAAATATGTAACTATATTCGAATTTTCTCTATAATCATCCCAAATACCAGTGACAGCCATATTTTGGGTTACAATGAATAATAACAAGAATTTGAACTTTGGGGTGAAAAGCCTTAGATTCTAGCCTTGTCATCTTAAGTTCCTTTGTAAGGTTAACAAGTACTGAACCTCATTGTTTGCATCTGTAAAACTAAAATAATCATGCCTCTGTACTATAGGTGAGAAAATGTCTTTGAAAATATTTTGGGCCAGATGCGGTGGCTCACACCTGTAATCCCAGCACTTTGGGAGGCCACAGCAGGAAGATCACTTGAGGTCAGGAGATCAAGACCAACCTGGACAATGTGGCGAAACCCCATCTCTACTAAAAATACAAAAAGTTAGGCAGACTTGGTGGGGCATGCCTGTAGTCCCAGCTAGTGGGGAGGCTGAGGTGGGAGGACCACCTGAGCTCGGGGAGTCAAAGCTGCAGTGAGCTGTGATCATGTCCCTGCTCTCCAGCCTGGGAGACAGGAGTCAGACTCTTGTCTCAAAATACATATTTTGTAATAGTATAAAGTACCATCAAATGAAACCTATTTTTGGGTAATGGTCTTCCTAATGGCATTATCCTCCTCCAATATTCAGCTTGGAAACTAATATTCCAGGACTTACTGAAGGTATAGTTAACTAGAGTAGAGGCTACAGTTGCCAAGACAATCTTCCTATTTCCTCCTCAAGGAAACTGACATCCTTTCCCCAAGTTCAGCCCCTCCCCTGGTGCCTGGAAAGCCAGTGCCAGACCATCCATCCATGTTGTCCCACTCGGAGGTAGGGCTCGGCCAGCCCAGCCCAGCCCAGCTCTTGGCTTCCCCATCATTGGATCCTCTGTCCACCTCTGGACAGAAGAAAAACACCCAGAGTGAAGGAAAGGAAACAGTGGTTCACCTTCCTCTGCTTGAGGTCCAGGAAGGAGCAAATCTGGGCCCATCAGTGCATGTAGCAACAACAGAGAAACCCCACTGGCTTTCAGTCCAGCTTCATCTAATAGAGACTAAGTAATTATGTGCTTTGTTACAAGAAAAGTCAAGTAGCTAATAAATAGCAGAACCAATATTTTAAAATGTCATCTCTCTTCCAGATTGCATTAATGTAGGCTGAGTAGGCTGCATGTCCTCAGGCCCTAGAAGACAGCTTTTGAGCCATAGACAGAACCACAGAAAGATCCAGTGTCTCCTACCACACCCCTTAGTGTTATGTGTCTGTTAAGTCACTGGTGACTAGAGACAAAAGGCTCCTGCAAAACAGAGAAAGCCAATGCCACATACTTCTCTATGTCCAGCTTCCAGTCCCCACGCCCTTCTCCTGACATTCTCCTATCCCTGACCTTCTAAAGCTGACTTTCAGAGTACCTGTTTCTTGAAGCCCTTCCCTGGCCACACCAGCGCCGTTGTGATGGCTCCTTTCCTCTGCAGCTCCTTGTCCCTTAAGCACCACAGTGCCATTGTGATGGCTCCTTTCCTCTGCAGCTCCTTGTCCCTTAAGCACCACAGCGCCACTGTGATGGCTCCTTTCCTTTGCAGCTCCTTGTCCCTTAAGCACCACAAATGTCCTCAACTTACTTGCCCTTTAACTGTTAAGTCACCTGTGCAAGTTAACTTGACCCCAGCCCAACATGACAATTTTTTTTTCATGACAGTGTCTCACTCTGTCACCTAGGCTGGAGTGCAATGGTGCAATCACAGCTCACTGCAGCCTTCACCAAGCTCATGCAATCTTCCTGACTTAGCCCAGGAGTGCTGGGATTACACTGACACACTGGCCCCAAAACTACCAGTTTTGAGGTCAGCCATGGTGTCCTACCAGAGGCTCAACAAGTGCTGGCCAGCTGACCAGTGAGTATTACCAGCCCAGGGGCACAGACAGACACGTGCACATAAAGGGGAGGAGAAGGGTGAGCTTGGAGCTGGAAAGCTTTGTGGAGACCTGGGGTGATTCTCTCTTCTCCTATCACTCTCCCCTTGGTCACCCAGCTCGTGACCCAGAAAGAGCCATCATGTGCTCTGGTCTCTCTTCCTTCCCTCCTCTCCTCCTGTCCCTTTACCCTGCTTAGCTGCTCCTCACCATTTACATGTCAGTTTAAACATCCTGTCCCACAGGAGGCCCCACCTGATCGGGTTAGGTCCCCTGTCAATTGCTCTTCAATTCCTCTGGGCCTCGCTTTTTGAGCATTCATACTCATCAAAAGTAATAGTCGTTTCTATCATTGTTTAATGTCTTCCACCCATTAGAATGGAAGCCCTGTGAGGTCAGGGGCCACATCTGACTTGTTCCCTGCTGCCATAAGTCCCTGGGCCTGCAATAAACAGGCTCTGTTTTGCAGGAGCCTTATGTCTCTAGTCACCAGTGGCTTAACAGACACATAACACATGTCCCTGGGCCTGCGGTATGCCAGGCACACAGTAGGCTCTGCATCCATGTCAGATGGTGAGGAAGCCAATAGGCATGGGTGTGAGCCAGGGCTTCTTGCATAGCTTGATGAGGTGGGAGGCAGAGCCCCATGTCCCTGAGACCAACTGGGATGAAACCTCACTGCACATGTCCAGGTGACTTAAGGACCCAGCAGGTATGTGTGATAGCAAAGCTGCCCAGGCAACTACAGTCCCTTCGTCAGGTTCCAAATTAAAGAAAAAGAATGACCCAAATCAGCAACCATCAAACCTGTGCCTCTATCCAGGCAGGTTGGTATTGCTGCTGTTGGCTTTGCTTGCATTCAGCCTTTTCTATCATCACCAGGTCAGGGGTCACATAGCATCTCCCATGTACCCGGCAGGTATTGGGTGCTGGGTCCTTGGATTCAAAGGCACACGAGGCCTGGCACCTGCCCACAGGGGCCTCACAGCGTTATGAGAAAGACGGCAGTGTAAACAAACAATCTCGCGAGATGGGAACGCAGGCTATGCCGGAGCTGTACAGGGAGAGGGTAGAGAGTGATTTGCTCTACCAAGGAGGCCTCAGAACACTTCACAGAGGTGACACCTTGACAGCGGGAAGCATCAAGAGGAGTTTGCTAAACAGGGAAAGGGCCTTCAGAGAGAGAACAGGGTGTGCGGCACTGCTGTGGGGCGGAGAGTGTGTCAGGGGACAGGCCTCGGGGCTGGCAGGAGAGGAGGCTGAGCGGGGCAGGGTCCTGTCATGGGCAGGCTTGGGTCTCCACTGAGATATTGCACTTAATTCTGTGAGTCCAAAGAAAACCATGGCGGGTTAAAGCAAATGGATGATTCCATCAGATCTGTTTTAGAAAGGTAACAGCACGATCCCAACTAGCAAAGTGCCACCCCCTATAAACATCCCAGCACTATGTCCCTAAGAGCTCTGGGAGCCAGCCTTACAGCCAGGAAGCCTCACTGAGCTTTGGGTACCTGGCACCCAAACGGACATCCTTAAAGTGAATGTCACAAAAAAAATTGAGAGGGAACCAAGGGCACACAAGGCCTTTTCAAGGACTCTTGAAGTGGGAGAAGTTGAAAGAATAATGAAACAGTGCCCGTGAGAGTGGCTCTGGGAGCATCACCTTCCCCTTTTTTAGGAGTTTCAGGGACCTGTTGACTTTGGAGGGAAGGAAGAGCGGTAACCCGGGAGGCCACAGCCAGACTGAGAGATGCAGCACGTGGAGGGCACAGCCAGGATCTCAAGGAGAAATCTGATCATGGCCAACACTGGCTGGAAGTTTAGGAATTCCCTGGGAACTGCCGCAAGGCCAATCATTTGTTCATTGAGCAAAAAGACTTAGCAACATATAGGAAAAGGGTGATACCCCAAAAAAGGATTCTCACAGCTGTATTCCAACACTAGTGTGAATTCTCACAGAGAACTCTCTCAGGGAGCCACAGCAACACCGTCATCGGAATGTGCCAGAAGGCACCCCCTCCATCTCCACAGAAGTTACTTGGAAACAAGCAAGTGGGGAAAGACTTAGATAAATTTGTGGTTTCTACAAAATTACTCTTTCAGGACTGTGGAGGAAAAAGTTTCATACTAAATACCAGAAATGCAGAATATGCACAGATATGATGACTCTTGTCATCATCGCTGTCATCACCACTTTTACCATCAAATTTTAAGGCAGATTCTCTTCATGAAGAACTTCAGGGTCTGGTAAAGTTAATGGCATGTCAGTGCTTACCTTATCAATGGGCAATGGCCAAGATGTCAGGAAAGCTCAGTCCAATGGTGCCTGTTTCCTTCCTATGCAGAAGTCACGTGTACTATGGTGACACTAGTCTTCACCTCCAGGAGTCTGAAATCATAGACACATGCACATTAAGCTGTGCAAAGCAATTGACCAGTGATTTATCACAACACCACCATAGGTAACTGTCAAGAAAAGCCCATTGTGTCCGGAGCTCCACAGCGATGCGGGGGGATGCCTGGCATTACTCTAGGTGCCCAGTGTCATATCCGTGTGAGCAGTGCTGTCCCGCAAAGATGGCCCTGATTGGGAAGAAGTGCAGCTGTTCAGGCCCTCAGCTCATCCCTGCGCTTCCCATCCTGTCCTTTTCCCCAATTCTTGTTGCGTCAGGTAGCACCTGCTTCTTCCTTCTCTGTCCCCTCCAACGAATGGTGAGCTCCCAGAGGGCAGGGCCAAGTCTCCTCCTCTCACTGTCCCAAGTGACTCACCAAGGCCCGGCATAAAGGAGCTGCTTGGTCCATACTTAATGGATGAATGGATAAGTGGCGACTAACCTAAGAAAATCCTGCCATTCGGCATCTTGGGGATGCCTTACAAGAGAAAGGCATCGTTTACAAAAGGCTGCAAGAGGGCTCTTCACTTTACAGACCTGCATATCCCAGCCGGCCTGACCATTTCTACCCGGGAGCTAAAACATGGAAGTTCTCAAACATGAACCTATGCTAGAATTACCAGAGGAGTCCCATTCAATCTCCACGCTTTCTACACGAACCACTTAAGACTGGGCCCAGGAATCCGCATTTTAACAAGGCCCCCCCCGCCCCGCCCATTGTTCTGATTCAGGGAGTCACAGAACACACTGAGAGAACCCTTTTCAATCACCCTAAGAGCAGACTTGGCATCAGATACAGTCAGCTTTATCCCTGTTCTATTATATATTTACTAACTACAGGGCCAAGTTGCACGTTTCTTAAGCCCCTTGTGCCTCAGTTATTAAAAGGGGATGGGTACAAACTCATAGAGAAAGAAAGTAGAATGCTGGTTGGCAAAGTGGCTCATGCCTTGTAATCCAGCACTCTGGGAGGCCAAGGCAGGAGCATCACTTGAGCCTAGGAGTCTGAGAATAGCTTGGGCAGCATAGGGAGACCTTGTCTCTACAAATAATATTTTTTTAAAAGTTAGCTGGGCCTGGTGGTGCACACCTATGGTCCAAGGCTCTCCGGAGGCTGAGGCAGGAGGGTGACCTGAGCCGGGGAGGTGAAGGCTGCATAAGCCATGATGGCACCTCCAGCCTGGGTGACAGAGTGAGACCCAAGGATTCTACTTTCAGCATCCTTGCCAAAAGTAGAATGGTGGCTTCCAGGGGATGTAGAAGTGGGGGATTGTCTAATAGAGAGTTTCAGGGATTTTTTGTTTTTGTTTTTTAGGATAGAGTGTTGCTCTGTCACCTAGGCTGGAGTACAGTGGCATGATCTTGGCTCACTGCAACCTCCGCTTCCTGGGTTCAAGCAATTCTCATGCATTAGCCTCCCGAGTAGCTGGGATTACAGGCATGCACCACCACACCCAGCTAATTTTTGTATTTTTAGTAGAGATGGGGTTTCAACCATGTTGGCCAGACTGGTCTCGAACTCCTGACCTCAGGTGATCCACCTGCCTTGGCCTCCAAAGTGCTGGGATTACAGGCGTGAGCCACCGTGGTCGGCCTCCAGAGTTTCAGTCTTGCAAGAGGGAAAAGCTCTGGAGATCTGTAGCACAATGTACATAGAGTTAACACTACTGAACTGTACACTTAAAAACGCCTAAGAGGGTGAATATGTTTTTGCCACAACTAAAAAGAGAAAGTTTTACTGGGGATGCACAATGGTATCTACTTCAAAGTGCTGTTAGGAGCATTACATGAAATAATGCATGTAAAGTCCCAGGCAACAGGCCCAGACTAGGAACTGCTCAAAAAATTATAGCTATTATTATTACAGGAACAAGGGGGTTAAAAAATTTAACTATGAGGCTGGGCACAGTGGTTCATGCCTGTAATCCTAGCACTTTGGGAGGCCAAGGAGGGCGGATTACCTGAGGTCAGGAGTTTGAGACCAACCTGGCCAACATGGTGAAACCCTGTCTCTACTAAAAATGCCAAAAAAAATTAGCCAAACACAGTGGCACACACCTGTAGTCCCAGCTATTTGGGAGGCTGAGGCAGGAGAATCACTTGAACCTGGGAAGGGGAGGTTGCAGTGAGCCGAGATCAAGCCACTGCACTCCAGACTGGGCAACAGAGCGAGATTCTGTCTCAAAAAAAAAAAAAGGCCAGGCATGGTGGCTCTCTCCTGTAATCCCAGCACTTTTGGAGGCCAGTGCAGGTGGATCATGAAGTCAGGAGATCAAGATCATCATGGCTAAGACAGTAAAACCCCGTCTCTACTAAAAATACAAAAAATTATTTTTAATAATTTTTAAAATTTGTTTTAATTTAAAATTAAATACAGGCACATGGTTGTGTGTGCCTGTAGTCCCAGCTACTCCGGAGGCTAAGGCAGGAGAATCGCTTCAACCCAGGAGGCAGAGGTTGCAGTGAGCCGAGGTCACGCCACTGCACTCCAGCCTGGGTGACAGAGTGAGACTCCATTTCAAAAAAAAAAAAAAAGAATAATTTACTATTTAAAGGCATTTTAAACTAAATTATAGTCAGAAACTTCAAGCTGATAGAAGTTCTTTGTACTTTTTGAAACACTGTGACAGTTTTTGAGAGCATTGGGCTATGAAACTTAAACTTATCATAATTATTAAGGCCAACTGCAGTGGCTCACGCTGTAATCCTGGTACTTCGGTAGGTCAAGGGAGGTGGATCACTTGAGGCCAGGAGTTCGAAACCAGCCTGGCCAACATGGTGAAACCCTGTTTCTACTAGAAATACAAAAAGTGGCCTTGTCTGGTGGCAGGCGCCTATAATCCCAGCTACTTGGGAGGCTGAGGCAGGAGATTTGCTTGAACCTGGGAGGCAGAGGTTGCAGTGAGCCGAGATTGCACCACTGCACTCTAGCCCGTGCAACAGAATGAGAGTCAGTCTCAAAAAATACATAAATAAATATAATCATTAAGGAAGATTTCAAACCCTCCCCCAAAAAATCCAAGGAGCTTTTTGATGAACTGCATTTTTCCAAATCCTGACCAAGAGACTATTTTCATCTCACCTATAGACACATAAGTTAAAAAAATACCACCCATATCATAGGTGGGTATGTGAGAGCCTGAGGGTGTTCATGCTAGGCAGTCTCGTTCATAACACTAACATCTTCTATTTGCAGAGAAGCAGGAAACAGAACAAAAATGCTACGTTTTGTCTTGCACCTTAAGCTTCATTAAAGAAAATCAAGCAAAATCTGCCACCATAGAAGAAATGATCTCCCGGTCTTGAAAAACTACATAAAGTGTTTTAATCTTTGATGTGCACGTGGAACCCCAGGCAGATTCGGGAACATGGTACAGACTCAAGGCCATCGTTGGGATTCTCTGCGCACTGTTTTGATTTTGTGTGCATCTATGCCAATTTCATCTCCCCAGCCTATTGTTTAAGGCCTAGCAGGACAGATGTGCTGTTTTACAGGGCCATAATCCACTTGTTGGGTGGATAACCAAGAGGCCTTTGGTCTTCATCATTTACTCCAGTAAGAAAAGTAGACGATCGCGTTGTAAAACAGCATGTGATCCAGGCCCTGATTTCCATGTAACACCAACCTACAGGACCTCCTTGGAACTTCCAACCAAATTAGCAAAATTCCTCCTGCTCATAGAAGTGACCAAAATTAGCTTGAGGCTGAATGAAATTATGGAAAGGACAATCTGAGGTTCAAACAGTAAAAGCGAGAGGGCTGGGAAGTGACTTGGAGTACAGGAGTTTAGGTCACACAGGTGTTCATATGAGTAAGAGTCATCATTCTAAGGCTGAGAAGGTTGGGCACTGCTGGTAAAAATTCTAATCCTAGTAGGCTTAGAATGTCTCTCAATCGAAAGGTAAATTCCCAAGTCACTGCTAAGGATTCCCCCATTTTTCTTTACCTCCATCCTGTGTAAACTGTAAGTGACTACCTCTCAGCCCTCATCATGGGGCCCAGCACTCCGATCCCAGCAGCCAGGAGTAACAGCAGCATTGACTGCTGGGAAGCGGTACTTGTGCAATCCAAAAACGGGCTGCAATAGATGCAAATGGACCATCAGCAATGTGCATTAGGATTGCCCCAATCACCTCCAGATCTCAAAGGACCCCCTGCATGCCACTCACACCAGCATCCTTGCCAACAGGTCGAAGCTGGGTGGATTAGAATGAAGGGCTATGATTGTAAGCAGCAAAGGGAAGGGGTGAAAAGAACACAAATAACCAGACATTAACTTTGGGTTCTGAGCATACTGCTTTCTGTCCACTTAATCTCTCTTTCACTGATGCATTTAAAGAAGCGACCTTGTCTTCTTAATCTTAGATGAAGGCTTGAAGCTCTGAGACCCAAGTGTCAGCCCCAGCTCTAGCTTTCCCTAGTCACATGACCTTGGAAGATCACATCTTTTTTTTCCTTCTTTTACCACTCCGGGCCTCCGTTTCTCATCTCGAACAGGGCTTAGGTTACTTGACACATTCGATATAAGTATGGTAGAAGTTTTCAAGAAATGAATCTGTAAAATGTGGTTATTTCAGATTTCAGAGATGCCTTCCCATCTCAGCATTCAACAGATCAGTGATTTGTTACAGACTCATGTCTCTGGTAATTTCTTTTTTTTGAGGCAGAGTCTTGCTCTATTGCCTATGCTGGAGTATAGTGGTGTGACCTTGGCTCACTGCAACCTCCGCCTCCCAGGTTCAAGCAATTCTTCTGCCTCAGCCTCCCGAGTAGCTGGGACTATAGGCACACACTACATGCCCAGCTAATTTTTTGTGTTTTTAGTAGAGACAAGGTTTTGCCATGTTGGCCAGGCTAGTCTCGAACTCCTGACCTCAGGTGATCCACCTGCCTTGGCCTCTGAAAGTGCTGGGATTATAGGCGTGAGCCACCGCACCCGGCCGTCCCTGGTAATTCTAGTCGTCTTCTGTAAGTGTGTGCCAACAGACTCATCTCTGTACTCAGTACAATCCTGCCTCATCATCTTATTATGTTACCTCTCAATTATGTTACAGCAAAGTGGTAGGATTTTGCCATTAACCTGATGGTACAATCGTTTAAAACAATAATTAGTTGCCAGAATTTATTCCTGCTTTTAAAGTTCTACATAATATTTCAAAAATATATAGGGAAGTATTTATATTTTCCTTCCACAGATGTTTTCTGCTTGATTTCAAGAGTTAACTGACATTTCCTGTCTTGTGTCCAATATGTTTTTCCTCTCCTTAAATCTTCCTTAAAATGCTGAAGATTTTTAATTTTTTCCCCTCTTTAGGAGGAAAAAAGAAACCTCTCCTCTGTAATTTACTTTGGCTTTCTCAAAAGTTGGGTAGGAAAGCCAGTGTAATTCAGGTGGAATCTAAAATGTTCTTGTACAAGCGTGCGCAGAAAGGAAGCCTGTAATTTCGAGCATTCTTTCAGGAAGTTTGTATTCTGTTTTCCAGGGAGCCTTTACTTTCCAAGGGAGTATGATCGACATGCCGTTACTGAAGCAGGCCCAGAACATTGTTACGCTTGCCACCTCCATCAAGGAAAAATGATCTGTTCAATGAAGCTCTCATCAGGTGGGCTGAACATAGACAGTGGGTTTCTCAAAGACAAACCGCAATACTCAAGGCAGCTTGTTAGTATGCCAGATTGGGACCTGACTTCATTTACAGTTCATGTTAATCACGATTTTGTTGTTGTTTTCTTACTGGCCATTCCTCGTTTTTCCTTTTGGATGCAAGCTTATGATTTTGTCATTTTTAGTGTATTACAAATATGGGCTTATGATTTCACAGGGCGATGAGGTCATGGGGCAAGATGAGCTGTTAGGGGAAGGTAGGTCTTGAATGAAACAGATCTTTCCCAAATAGACAGATTCCCCCCTACCCTTCTCATGTTAGCAGATGCTTTCGGCTCGTTCATTTGCACAGCTGACACCACAGACAATTTTAAGAAAGGTACCTTTAAAAAATAGTAACAACATTAAGGGGTCATGTCTGTTTTGCTAGTAATCCATAAAACATCAAAAAGGTTACTAAGTATTACATTGGCTTATAAAGATACCTTCTAAAAATAAACCTTCAAAACTGGTTACTGTTAACCTCCACCCCCAAAATGAAACATCCAGCTCCTTGAACTGCTAGAGATGAACAGACGATGAACAGGAAGGCTGTCATCCTGGGTGAAGGCTGTGGGCCAACCATTACCGGCCATTAAAAACTAAATGTGCAGAAACACAAGATGGTCCATTCTCCCCCTTTATTTTCCTGTTTAACTGTTTGCCACTGAGGCCACTTCCCCCTGGAAATGTATGGCCGGGACAGGACTCCCTCAGTCGTAAACTTGTAACGTCTCAGAAGACACAATGCACCCGAGCTGGTGCATGTGGCCCCTGCGAGATTTGCATCACATTAGAGATGCGGCTGCAGGTCAGATGGGTGGTGTGGTTAACGGGCTTAGTAAAGCTGTTTTGAAGAGGTTAACCCAGCTTGTAGGAAGGGTAAATAAACATAACAACCAGCCATTGTTCCCTATTCAGCATGTACTCTTATACTGAAGGCTAAAGGGTATTGAAGCTGCAGAGGGATCAACTTGTGCTTGCCAGAGGACGCCAATGAAGTTTGAAACACCAACAATCAGAGATTTTGTTTCTGTTCCTCATTAAATCATGAGCTTTTGTGCCGAGACTCTGGACGACTGTTCCTTAAGAAATTAACAGAATGGGAAGTTTAAAACTCTACACCAACCTTTTCATGACCTACACAGCAGCAACGCTGCTACTCTTAGACAAACTCCACGGGGAAGGCTGTTCTGTTTATTTAAATTTGTAAATAGAAAACAGTTGTTTTTTTTACTTTCATTTTTCACCTCCTCCTACGCCCTTTTGGATCATTTCCTCCGCGGCCCCTAGCGTGTGCCCCAGCCAGGGCTCTCCTCTTGCCCACTTCCTGCAGTTCCTACAGGAAGCCTGAGAGGTGAGTGGAGCTGAGGTTAGACACCAGGAGAGGCACCATCAAATGAACGCACGGCCGCAGAATCCCACTGCCACCAGGTGACCCCCCCCAGCCCACCCCAGTGCATGGTAGACAGGGACAGTCACGCAAGCAGCCAGCACCACACCAGGCAAGATGGCTCTAGGGATGCCCATTCTGGAGACACCAACTCATGTTCCCAAACACGGGATCCAGGAGATAGATAGCTCCTAAATGGAGATGGCATGTGCTCCTTGGGGTCCCTCATAGAGTGGCACCCTCCACCCTGCTCGCCCTGTGCTGCCCCAGAGTGGCCGGAAGGGAAGGTGGAAGCTAGCCCCATCCTCACTCAGAGGCCGGAAGGAGGAAGATGGCATCCTGCCAACTTCAGAGCCGAACGGCCTCCAGCCACACTGCTTCCAGACCCCAGACGGGGCAGCGGCAGCAGTTCTCAAGGAACACCCCCAGCACCCATTGTTGCAGCTGGGTCCTACCCAGAATGGGAATCCCGGAATCAGGTGGGCACCAGGTAACCCAGGACAGTGCTGCGAACACCCAGTCTGCCTCTCTGCTCAGAACACAGAGGGATGGGAGGATGGCTTGGTGGCGGGAAGGCAAAGGAAGGCCTCCTCTCACCCTGACCCTGCCATACACACTGGCTCAAGGTGTTAGAAGCAGTGGAGGCAGGGCTGGCCCTAAGCAAAAGAAGAAAATAAACCCTACCTCGGCCTTGCCTATGGGCAGCCCTCACCCCAGTCTAACTACCCTTCCCATCCTCCAGGATGATCCAGAGAAGCCCTTGGATGACGCGCCTGAATTCCAGTCTCCACCCCGGCCCCACAAGCAGCCAGCCCACCCCACACAGAGGGGCCTCCTCAAGGCCTCACTGACAGGCTCTCCTCCTCACCCAGGGAGCCCTACAGACCTGGGGAAAAGCAGGCCCCTCCGCCAGGTCCCTAGCTGGTGTGGAGGCCAGACCAGCTAGGCCTCCCACTGCTGGTCACTCCCAGGCCACAGGTTTCTAGGTCCCAACCACATGGACTGCTTGCCACGCTCCTGCCCTCATCCCAAACTGCTTTGTTTAAACAAAACCATCTTTTTTAGTCTCCCCAAATATCCGGTTATCTTCCTCCTAACCCAGTGGTCCCAATTATGGTAGGATCATGAGACTAGGTCCTATGAGAGCCACAAATCTGGACTGAAGTCCCATTTCCCGAACAGAGACCCAAATGAGGAGGGCCCGAAGAGTCCAGTCCTGGTCAGAGACCCATAGTGCCTTAGTCCTTGAAGGACAAAACTCCAGGAAGAAGATGCTGGAAGGCAAAGGGTGTTCCCCCTCTTTCCCCACCTGAATCTCTATAGTGCCATGGGTGGGGCAAGGTACCCTGGGAATGGTGGGAGAGGAGCTGAGGACCCAGAGTGTGAGTCATCTCCACTGGGCACGCCAGGCACCCCGACATGGGGAAATGAGGGCTGCCCGACTCCTGACTCCTGAACCAGGCATGGGCGACAGGAAGAGGACCTTGCGGCTAATCTGATTAATTAGAAAGCATACCTGTTTATGTTTTGTGTAGCTCCTCACAAGCTGCTTAGCCATATCACCCCCGTTATTAATTCTTGGGCTCTAAATTATGGGTAACACTATTAAAACATTATCAGAACTAATGAGAAACAATTACTTAGAAAATGAGCCAGGACAAGATTGAGCTGAGAACATCAGTGGTGATCACTGTGGATTAGTTTAATAAATCATCAGGTGCAAGGCAAGACTGACTGGATGTATGCAAAGCCCCGTCACGGGAAAATGAAATTGAGATTTTTTTTGCATAATTTTTTCATTAATCTCAATAGGACCCGTGTGGTGTAGATTGCTTTATTCCCCTAATACCTTGCCTGAGGGGGGGTGCCCAATAATGTCTTCATTGTTTTACTGAGGTCTTAATGACAATCTGTGACAACCTCATTTTAATGTATAGAGGATTATATCAATACAGTCATGTTTTATTGAAATGGTGAAGGGAACTCCAGTCAGAGTCGGGCACTGTCCATGAGCACAAGTTCGGAAGTTTCTCGGCATCCGGGAGCCTTCCTGTCTGATGTCCCAGTGTTAGTCCACCGGCCGCCCTCCCCTCCTCTCCTGGGATGAAGACTTTACCGCCTCCAATTTGAATTTGAAAGTAACTCCTTCCCTGGCATATTTTGCTGCGCAGATAGAACAAACCATGTTGTTTTCCCTTCCCTCGTCTCTAAAATAGACATGTTATTATTCACACTTTTGTACCCAGTCGTTTTGCGGGAGTTCGGGAAACTGACTTGGTTCGTTGGGGACACTGTCATTTTCTTATGACGCCATGAGGAGAAAAAATAATACATGGTTTTGTTTATTTTAATCTGAAGGATTAAATCTGCTTTTATGATTTCAGTTTACCTTGGAAAACTGAATCTTCCATGTTTTATTTCTTTCCTGTAGTATTAGAAAAGCAATGAATGGCACAAAACAGGTTCTGAGACGGCCCGCAGGCTCCGAGCTCGTGGACGCGGCCGGAGGTCGGGTCTGACTCGCGGAGCCCCCACCAGGTTTCCCCGCGCATCTTCGGGGGAAGTGGGGGAGGCAGACCCAGCATTTAGGCGTGAAAGTCTTCGCCTTTCTCTCCGCGATGTATTTCCCACCGGCGGAACGGGACAGCCGAGCGCGGCCCCCACAGAACATCAGTGACTTTTCCAGACCCCGCTTGGCATCCGCGAGTCCGCGCGTGGGACCTGGCAGCTCCGCGCCAGCCGGTTTTGGGGTTGGCAGTATTCGCTCGTTTAAATTCCAGTTGTTATTTGGCAGTTTATCGCCTTTGGAATCCATGAGAATTGCCAGCAATGGAAAGAGTGACCTGCGGGAAGGGGCCGAAGCCATGGTGAGCGCCCGGGTTCCGCCAAGCGCGCTGCAGCCTGCGGGGCGAGTTGTCTTTCGACAAAATCTTTTGGGACTTCTTTGTCCCTCACGCCCTTCCTTTTAAATGATTTTTATTTTTATTTTTCCACTTTAAGTGACCGGCTGGGTTTTACTTTTGCTTTTTCCGACGGGAAGGGCACAGCAAACCGGAGTAGGCAGCTCCGCGGGCAGGAGGAGCGCTGGGTACACGCAGACTCCGAGCCCTGCGGAGCCCCGAGGCCGCCTCTTCTGCACCCCGCGTGCGTGCGGAGCCAGGGCCGGGCCGAGGGGGAGTGTGGTGGCCCAGGAGGCCGGGACTGTGGGCCCCACTCGCCCGCCTGCCGCGGGCCGCCCGGAGCCCGCGCGCCTGTCGCGCAGCCCGGCTGTAATGGTGGCAGATCAAAGGCGGCCCCATGTCCCCGCGGAGCCCGGGACCATCCCGCGCCTTTGTGCGCTGTTGCTAGGAGCCCGAGAAACTAAGAGAAAGTGTCAGGAGCATGTTAATCAGACTCGTTACACTGTAACAATAACGTCTCTCTCGGGTCTCCCAGGCCCCAGCACCCCCGCGCACCCCGCGCGCAGGCCGGACACCTGCGCGGGGCCCTCGCGCCTGCCCTGGGGTCCTGCCGGCCCCGGGGTCCCTGCAGCCCCGAATCCAAGCCGGGGCCATGCGCAATGACGAGCCCGGAGGGGCCCCAAAGGCACCCAGTGCAGCAGCTCCCTGGCTGAGGTCTCCTTGACCAAAGCCCCGGCCTCACCCCGCCGGGCCGCGAGCTGGAGGGATGCAGAGATGATCCCGGTCCCCTGCTTTTCAGTCCTCCGGAATCGCCCATGTTGTTCAATCGCAGTATTCGAATCAAGAGAAAAATGAACATTCCCTTTCTGGTAGCTTTTTGGTTATGAGTTTTTGCAAAACTGTTAAGTCAACTTTGCTGATTTCCCTTGGGAATCCCTGGAGGCTACTCTAATTGGTAAACCCAAGTTTAAGAAGGAAGGGGGGAAACATTGCTGAGAGTAAAAATGTCCCCCAACTTTTTCAAGAGAATTGCTTTATTCATTCATTAAGTCATTCAACAAACACCTGTTGAACCCGACTGGGTGCCAGAGGGGCCAGTCTCAAAGTCACAGGACTTACTCCAGATGAACTTTTCTTTTGAAATTAGAACGCCCTTGGGGAAGTCAGAGGAGGAGCAGGGGCCTAAAATAATGTCAAGTGTCAAAGCAAAAAGAAAGGCCATTGGCGATTACAGTGTGTGGTGATAACAAGAGAGGAGCGAATTAGGAATTTAAAACATTTGAAAAACTGCAGGCCATATGCTTTGAAACCAGCTACTTTTCCACCTCTTTCATCTCCCTTCCCCTCCGCTTTTGGTAGGCAGGAGCTCTGCCATGCTGCAGTTTCCACCCCATCAGAGGCCTGCCTGAGGTCTGAGGAGTGAGGCCAGGCCTTCTGTTTGTACACAGTCTTTCAAACTTGCAGAGAGTCACACTCCACCCTGGCCCCATTCCCCCTTTTCCCATACGCAGAGAACTGGAACACTGTCCGCAGGCTTAAGGCAATGGTTCAAGAACCAACCCATTTTGGAAGGGGTAGAAGGGGGGCCAGACTTCCAGAGCGTAGCTGCCACACCTAAGTCACAGGACAAAGCTGGCTGTCACCAGGATAGGTTAAGACAGCCTCTCAACTCACCTGTGTCTACCACTGACCAAGGGGGAATCCTGATACTGTGTGAGACTCCTCTGTTGGTGAAAATTTCTCTGTCTCACTGTTGCATGCAACATATCAATATACAGAAAACTGGGTCAGGCGCAGTGGCTTACACCTGTAATTCCAGCACTTTGGACACTGAGGCAGGCAGATCACTTAAGGTCTGGAGTTCAAGACCAGCCTGGGCAACATGGTGAAACTCCGTAAAATACAAAAAATTAACCAAGCATAGTTACGCACCCTTGTAAATACCAGCTACTCAGGAGGCTGAGGCAGAAGAATCTCTTGAACCCCAGAGGCAGAGGTTGCCTGGACCCTGCCTCTGCACTCTACCCTGGGCAACAAGGGTTAAACTCCATCTCAAGAAACAGAAAACTGGACAAGTTGCTTGGGGATTGGCACCCCAGGCCTGGAAGGAACTTTAGAGATTCATTTCATTACATAAATAAAAGAGGCGATATGCTGAAAACTCCATCTACAGAAAACAAGGGAGGCCGAGTGCTGGCTATGTGACGATGCTAGAATAGCTGGCTGCAGGGGAGAGACTCAGTGACAAGACACTGGATTCTTTTGGTTTATATAAGGCCAAATAGCTGGTTTGGCTGGGTTCTGTTTTGTTTTTAAACACCGAATCAAATTTCCTTCATAATCAGATGCACTAATAGAATCAAGAGAAAAATGAACATTTCATTTCAGAGAGCTTTGTGGTGGAGAATTTATTCTGAAGACTACACACTCTAGGTATCTGGCTTAATGTTAAAAAGCGGGCAGGGGTTGGTCTTTTGAGTCCTGTGAAAGGAAGAACATAAAAACCAACATGAACTTCTGGCTTAGGTTTTCTGGGAGAACTGTGGTGGCTAGTAATCCAATTCCCAAATGAGGACAAGGGCACATCCATTTCTCCATCTAATTTCCAGGGCCTGGAATTCGTGCATCGGCTTTCAGGGGAGATTTAGGGAGCTTCTCCCAGGCTGGTAGAAAGGAGCTCCGACCACTGCCTGTCCCCAGCCCTGTGTACTCATATCAGTGACAGCATGGCTCTCTCAAGAGGCCCTGGCCACTGTCCAGACTGATTTTTTCTGAAGCCTTTGTGCAAGCTGCAATCCTCCCTCTCCATGACACCCAACAAACGCAAAGCATTCTTCAAGACACAACTTGAAAGCCACACCTGTGAGGTCCCCCCAGATCCCCCGGAGACAACTTGCAGCTCTTCCCTCAGTCCTGCCATTGCATGGATAGGATTTTCACTAGAATACTTGTTTAGATGTGTGTGTCCCAAAAACAGTGTGGATGCCTTGAATAGTGGACATTGTCACACATCTCTGATCCCTCTCCTGCTCTCGCCTCTCATCCCCAGCATGAGCTTGTAGAAAATGTGTTCATTACAATCAGGACCAGAGTCTCCCTCCTCCACTTAGGTTCTGATCCTGGCTTTATCACTAATGGGTTACATTATGTGCAGACAGAACAAGAAGGCATTTATTCTTTCTGAACATCAGTCTCTTCAACTACCCAAATGAAAACACCTGACTCCAAGAGTTGCTGTGAGGATGTGGAAGTCAGAAAGCTGCACCCCTTTCCTAGGCTGGGGAAATGCAGTCAGCAGACAGCCCCCTACCTCACTGCCTTGCCCAAGACCCTTCTAGGGCCCCTCACCATTTTGGCCAGAGGGGGCATATATAAGCCAGAGTTTCCAGTGGGGTTAGCCAAGACTTTGTTGGGTCTCCTTGGCCATTCAACTTCTTGACGCTAATCGTGAGTCCTCCTTACTTTCCTGGACGTTGTTCTTGATGCTAATCCCGAGTCCCCTTCCTTTCCTGGAGGTTGTTCTCTAGCATCTTGCACCCTAGTGTCTGTCTGAGCATCTGCTTCTAGAGTGGTAACCTATGGCGGAGGATGAAATAAACTAGTGTATTCAAAAGCACCTGGCATATGGTGGTTACCAGGGGCCGGTGGATGGGGTGGGGGGCAATGGGGAGTTACTGTTTAATGGGTACTGAGTTTCTTTTTTTTTTTTTTTTTTGAGATGGAGTCTCACTCTGTTGCCCAGGCTAGAGTGCAGTGGCACAGTCTCAGCTCACTGCAACCTCTGACTCCCGGGTTCAAGCTATTCTCCTGCCTCAGCCTCCCAAGTAGCTGGAATTACAGGTGCCCGCCACCACACCCAGCTAATTTTTTGTATTTGCAGTAGAGACAGGGTTTCACCATGTTGGCCAGTCTGGTCTCAAACTCCTGACCTCGTGATCTGCCCACCTTGGCCTCCCAAAGTGCTGGATTACAGGCATGAGCCACCACATCTGGCCCCAAGTTTTGTTTTTGCAAGGTGAAAAAGTTCTGGGTAAGAGGAGGGCTATGGTGGCACAATATGAATGTACTTAATGCCACAGTGGTTCAAATGGTAAATCTTGTTTCTTACCTTTTCCATAATTGTTTTAACAATTTTTTAAAAGAATGATTGTAAAATAAAAATGAATACATAAATGCAGTATTTCTAAACCACCTAGCATCATGCCTGGTACATGGTAGGCATTCAGTAAAGACCAAGTTCTTTCCACAGCAGAGCATGGGAATCCCGCTGCGCAGAGCTGGCTGGAATGTGCACTTCTACTCAGCAAACCATGTTTTCTCATTTACTTTCTTTATTTTTGAGACAGTGTCTCACTCTGTCGCCCAGGCTGGAGTGCAGTGGTGAGATCTTGGCTCACTGCAACCTCTGCCTTCGGGGTTCAAGCAATTCTCCTGCCTTAGCCTTCTGAGTGACTGGGACTATAGGCGCTCACCACTACACCCTGCTAATTTTTGTATTTTTAGTACAGATGGGGTTTCACCATGTTGGCCAGGCTGGTCTTGAACGCCTAACCTCAGGTGATCCACCTGCCTTGGCCTCCCAAAGTGCTGGGATTACACACATGAGCCACCTGGCCTGGCCTTCTTATTTACTTTCATTGCTAGATGAAGGATATGCTCTCACAGGAAAACAAGTTCAAATTCCTGGACATACCAGGAGGGTGCGGCACACTCCAGCAGCCACAGTCTGGGGAGCTGCGCTGCTCTTCTCTTACTGTCGTTGTTATTAACAATCTCCTACCCCCATTGCTGGCCTATGGAAGTCTCTCTCAGTGCTGGAGATGTTCTGGCTCTAAACTCTTACCATTTGTCCAGTCCCCTGATTTTGTAGACACTAAAGGGCTGGAGGGTTATGTAGTACCATCTCCTGACTGAAGGGGGCACCATCCACATAGAAAAAAATACAATGCTAGGGTCACCTGGAGTTGGGCAACTATTGGCCCTGCTAGGGGACTTGCTCAAGGTCACACGGCTGGCAAAACCAAGACTACCACTACATTCTCCACATTCTCTCCACTAAACCACACAACTTCATCCCCCCTCCAACTCCTCAGATTCATGGTTCCCTGTCGGGTTCCCCAGTTTGTCAATTCTGTAGGGTGAGCAAGCTCCAAATGTGTTTTTTGAAACAACGAGAGAAATAACAAAGCCTCCTCCTCAGCAACTGCCTCCCTCAGAGACAGTGCCTGACCCCGGCAAAGATATTCGAATTCATCACAATTCAAACAACCAGTCATCAAAAACACAGCCGGGAAGCTCTGCCACCAGGCCAGTGCCACCTCGCAATTCGCCTTGATGTCCCCCAGCCCCTGGAGGTCCCTGAGTGCCTGCCTCCCAGACTCAACATGCCCCCGTACATTTTGCAGGATTTTCTGCCGGGAGCCAGTCTCAATGGCTGGAAAATGTCTGAGGTTGTCTAAGGGAGGAAGGCCCCGTGCAGGCATGACGTTGGATGCAGCCCCAAGGACAGGCTGCAGCGAGCGCCATGCTGAGCCGGTGGTGTCGCCACCACCTCTTGGCCGTGGGCCTCACTCCTGTGCTCCATCCCCCGTGGGCACCATTCTTTGCATCATCTCTCCTTCCATCTAGTCCTGCTAGACTTTTCCTTCTGCCTTGTAATTTTGCCTTCTCTTCCTTTCTCCCCTCATAGTTCCAAAAGCAAAAACAGCAAATGTCGGAAAGAAAACAACAACATGGGCAAACTATGTTTGTCTAATTCTGTGTCTGCTTCGGAGGTAAATCTCACATCTTAGGCTATGAGCTGCTTGCAGGACATTCCCCAGTCTTTCCTCGACTGAGGGCTTGGCACCGGATGTTTAGCGTGTCCATTTCACCAGAGACCCTGAGTGCACAGACAGACGATACTGTACTTTGGGAATCAAAGCAGAAATGTCAATGAGGCTGCTCATTAGTAAACTGGACTTTGCTGCCAAAGTTGCTATTCCTTTGTTGTGTGTGTGTGTGTGTGTGTGTGTGTGTGTGTATGTGTGTGTGTGTTTGGTGGGTTTTGTTGTTACTGTTGTTGTTTGAGACGGAGTTTTGCTCTGTCACCCACGCTGGAGTCCAGTGGCTCAATTTCGATTCGATGCAACTTCTACCTCCCAGGTTCAAGTGATTCTTCTGCCTCAGCCTCCATAGTAACTGGGATTACAGGCATATGCCACCATGCCTGGCTAATTTTTGTAGTTTTAATAGAGACGGGGTTTAACCCTGTTGGCCAGGCTGGTCTCAAACTCCTGACCTCAAGAGA